TTTTTAATATAGCTAGTCTAATATATTATATATTTATATATAAATACTTATAATTTTATTATTATAATATAATATATCCTTAATATAAAAATTCTTTTATAATTCTAGACTTTTAGGAGCCTTATTTATACTAAAAATAAAATATATAATATGATTTGAATATTAAACTTAAAAAATAAAGAATTATAAAAGTCCTAATAATTATAAGATTTTATAAATTTGAATAGATTTGAGTATTATAAAAGTATTAAATTTAGTAATCTAATTTTTAAATTATATAAGAACTAATTAAAGAATATTATTTTAAAGTATTAATTATAAATTTCAAGTATATATATATTTATAATAAAATAATACTAAACTAATTATAAAATATAGGAAAAAGTATATTAGATATTAGATTTTTTTTTTTTAATTATTTTAATTTTAATAAATATTTATATATAATTTATTAGACCTTATATAATAGATTTATTTAGAAGAAATAAGGTTAATTAGTCTAGGGAATTTAATAATAATAATTAGATTTCCGTCTAATATAATAAATAAAATACTAATAATAGTTCAGATACTTTAGGTTTTATTTATAAAGCTAAAAATATTATATTTATTAATTTTCTATATCTAATAAAAAAGAAAAATATTATATTTATATCTTTAATATATTTATTATTATAGAATAATACTTATATAATTTATAAGATTAATTATAATTCTCTTTATTAGAAAAAAGAATAATAAAATTAAAAGAGGAACTAATAGCCTATTACTATTATTATTATTATTATTATTAGAATTAGCTTTAGTAGTACTTTCCGTAATACTTTCTATATTATTTTATAGCTTTTAGAAGTTAATAAATAAAGAAAAATTCTAATATATATAAGTTAATTAAACCTAAAAATAAGAATTTATAAAAGAAATAAAAAATAGAATTTAGAATTAAAGAAAGAATTATATATATATCTTTATTTATTTATTAATTTATTAGATTTCTTTTTACTTTTAAAGTCTTATATTTATACTAATAAATAATACTTTTCTGGGCTTTCTAGGCCTTTTTAGTCTATTATTTAATTTTCTTAAATTACTATATCTTCTAAATATTTTCTAGTTCTTTATAAATAATTTTAAAATAAAGATTTTTATATAAAGTCTTATTCTAATATAAAATAAAATAAATTATCTAGATATCTTTAGGGCCCAGATATATATTATAATAGAAAAAATTAAAAATAGTTTAAATAGAACCTAATAAAACTATAAGTTCCTGGATTCTTTTACTATTAGAACTAATATAAAATACTAGTTTATTTATATTATTAATAAATTAATAATAATAAATAAGTTTATTAATATAGAAAAAGAAATAAAAAATAGCTACTAAAAAATTATATTAGAAAAAATAAAAAAAACTCAATTATTTATTTTAAATTAAAAGCTATTTATTAAAAAATATTTATTAGAATTTATATAAAGAATCTAATAAAAGAAATAAAAGAAAACTTATTATTAACTTCTTTAAAAAATTAGATAGTTCTTTATTTAGCTTTCTAATTCTTTATATTATTAAATATCTATTTATAAAGAACTAGCTATAAAACTATAGTCTATAATTCTATAAAACTAAATCCGGCTATATTTTAATTTATAAAACCTTAAAGGGCTTTAGGTAATTTATTACTAGTATAAGAAGCTATAGCCTAGATAATAGTTTAAATAACTCTTATATTTATAATCTATTAAGCTTATATAATAATATAAATATTATTAGAAAAGTAATTAGATTAAATAATATAGCTTATAATAAAAGAAAATATAAAAGGAAATAGTTATAGGGCTATTAGAATAGAAAAAGCCTAAGGTAAAGCAGAAATAGTATTTAGTAACTATATAATAATAGTAACTAAAGAAATAAATATAATAGATATTTCTAAAAAAAAAATTATAGAATAAAAATACTAAAAAAAGCTAGAGATTTAAAATATTCTAGATATAAAAGAAAAAACAAATATAAATAAAATTCCAAAATTATAAGATTTAAATCTACTAATATTATTATTCTAGATAAATAAAATAATAGTTTCTATATTATATTTATTATTAATAAATTAATAGAACTTGTAATATTAGATATTACTATATTAATATTTAGCTATAAAATATATAATATTAGAATAGGTTTTAAAAAATAAGAATTTAAAAATATAAAATATTTATATAATAAATAAACTTAATAATTCTATTAATACTATTCTTAAAAATAAAAAAAAGATTTCGAAAATAATATATTTAATAATAAATAATATTTATTTTAATATATTTAATTATTTTATAATTAACTTATTTAATTATTCTATATTATTAGAAGTATTACTAATAAAAGGCTATTTCTAAATAAAGTCCTAGATTATTAGAAACTATATAAGTATTTTTCTAACTTATATATTATTTATATATTTTATATTTATTAGAATAACTTATTTAAGAATTCTATTCTATATAATAATAGTATTATATTTACTAGTTAGTTTTTCGAACTCTTTTAATATTAGTAATTACTCTAAGGCTATATATATCCGGACTATATATTAGAGCTAATAATAAGCTTAAATATATAATTAGTTACTATTTCTATTAGTATTTCTTATATAAATATTAGCTATATTTATATTATAAGATATAAGCTTCTAATAATATTATTCTAATATTTTTCTTAATAAAAACTTATTAATATCTATATTAGTATATAAATAAACTATTTATATAAAACTATATAAAATTATATTACTTATTCTAAACTAAATAATTATTAAAAATTATATTATAAAACTTTATATTTATAAAGTAATTCTAATATTATATCTCGCTTAAAGGCCTTATATATAGTCTAAATAGCTTACTGGCTATTATATTAGACCTAGATTTATCTTTTCTAATTCTATAAATATTTTATAAGTTTATAAACTTATATATTTTATTTTGGATCTATTATATATAAAGTATTAGTAAAATAATCTAGTTTTATAAGTATTAGTAATTATAATTCTCGGTATAGGCCAGTTTCTAAAAGTAGTTCTATATATACTAATTAGAATTAGTTCTATAATCTAGTATTATAATATTAGACCTAATAGTTTTAATAAAAAATAGTATAATTATTAGTATCTAATACTTTTTTCTAATAATAAAAAGAATAAAAAACAAATATAAGAAAACGGAATTACTTATATACTACTAGTATAGCTAGCTCTTCTAAAGTTCCTATTATTAGAATTTAATCTACTAATTCTTAATACTTTTTCTAGTAATAAAATAGTTCTTTATATATATAACTAATAAATTAGCTATTTATAAAAATATAAAATATACTTTAGTAATAAAAAAGAATTCAGAGCCTTAATTAGCCCTAAAGAAATAAGAGTAATAGTTTATTTAAATATAAATCTAAAGATATTACTATATAATTAAATAAATAATCTAATTAGAAATTCCGATATATATTTAGATAATATTATATAAATAAGTATTAATATAAATATATATCTTAATTCCAAATAATAATGACTTATTATATTTATTAATTAACTAAATCTAGTCTGGTCCAGATATAATATATTCTTCCTTTTTAGACTATATCTATTATATTTATAATATAATTACCTCGGGATCTAGGAATTATAATATTATATATAAGCTTTTCCTATAAATAATAAAATATATTAATAAATAAGGCTTTAATCTTCTAAGCTAAAGTAAAATAATAAAATATAAAAAGACTAACCGAATTACTAGTAAATCTTATTAATAGAAATATATATATAAATACTATTATTTATAACCTATAATTCGCCTATTATTTAGCTTATTCTATAATATTATAAATAGTTATTTATTTACTACTTGCCTGTTTATTATAATTATATAATAGATAAGACTAAGCTTCTTATATATATAAATGACTCTAGTAATTGAAACTATATAGCTATAATTCTTAAGATCCTTAAGTATTTCCTTATTTATATTTCCCAGATAATATAGGATTATAATTTATATATAAAGAAAAGATATATTTACTATTTAAGTATATACTTAAATATTTTATTCTTATAATTAGTATTTAATTATACGGGTATTAATATTAATTTTTTATAAATCTTTTAATCTTATTATAATTATTTTATAAGAAACATTTATATAAGTCTATTTAATAATAATATTATAATATAGTAAAAGATTTATAGAATATTATAATATTTTAATATAATTAAATAAGGTATTAATAATATTAATATATTATAAGTTCAGGCCATATATTACTATTGCAAAGCACTTTTAGTAATATAAGTGCTAAATTACTAGAGTAACAGAAGCGTACCCTAAAAATAGAGGGGCAGGCACGTACGGTTGTCAGAAATCAGAAAATCAGAAATCGAAAATCAGAAAATCAAATCTCGCTTCTCTGTTTTGTCGACTAGCTAGCTGTGGGCCTCAGTAAATGCTACGCGAGCAAAACAGGGGTGTTGCAGGGGTTGGCAGGGGCACACTGATTTTCTTTCCAATGCACCTGCATTCCACGCATATTACGTGACGGTGCTACGCGTTACTGGTGAACCGACAATAATTTTACGCGGCAATATAGGTTCTCACTCCATTAATTAGATAAGCAATTAGCCTTATCATTATTATATTATTTAAGCCGAAAGTCACGTATGGATGCTATATCCTCTAATTAGGAATTCTGCCTTGGGAAGGGGGGGTTGGGGCGCCAGTGCGAAAATAAAAAAATCGCTTCTCGGTTTTGGGCCTCTGTACCATTGGCATTCTCTCTTTGTGATTGGCTCGGTACTGGGCGAATAAACATGGGTGCGTCGACGGCATGCATGGAGCATGGTCACTCGCTGCCACGACTGCACCTCAACTTCGAGGAAACATCCTCAGCAATATACCGCACTTCAATGTTCCAACTCGCATCAATATAGCCACCTGGATGCAATGAAATGCCAACGTAAGAATTTTGTTGACGCGGACTGACCAGGACCCTCGCCTCGAATCGCGGCTGTTATGGATGGGCAAGTCCTAAGGCTGGGCATATCCGACCTAGATAGCCCTGCCAACAACGATCTCTGGGCTCGCGCAGTCAAAAGCTGAGTGCAGAAGATAAAGCGAGCATCAATTTCAGCTACAACAAGCTTTCCATTCTGTCCGATCTGAAGCTGGAGACCGAAGTCGCCCAACAGAAATGTGACGAAAAAAGGCTTGGATTCAAGCGAAGAAATGGAGAGAAGGTCATTTTGCGGGACTTGTTAGGGAAGGTTGTGAAGTGGATTAACCTGTTCAAAGAGGTTGGGGATGTTGCGGTGTCGTATGATCCAGGGCATGCAGCTCTTCCTTGGGCATTGGTGCGGTTCCTCTTACAGGTGGGTAGCTTTCACTCAGAAACAGATTATACTCTTAGCCTTCCGAGGCATAGAATACAAGACTGATTAAGGTTAGGCTACTGTCGGGGATATTGAGAAGTATGACTTTGTAGTGGAAAACCTCGAAAGTGTCTCAAAATGCATTTGTCGCTGTGGGCTTCTGGAGCGGCTGTATCTTGACGGGAGCGCCTCAACGGCCAAGACAGAGTTTGAGACAGCTTTGGTAAAGCTCTACGGGTCGATGCTCCTGTACTTATCTAAAGCCAAGGGGTTCTTCGACAGAAAGAAGAGCTGTGAGTAGAATGTCACCGGACCAATTATTTAGTTTGCTAACGCTTGACTTAGTCCGCATCATCTCAAGTGCTTTCAGCGATAAAAAAGAGTTTCAAGACTACACTGATAACATCGCAAAAGACCTTGAAGATGTTAATCAATATGCTGCTCTCATTGGTCGAGAAGGTATCATCCACAAGGACCCCAATCTCACCCCCTCGGCTTCCATACCACACAACTAATGTAAACCCAGTCGACTCCTCTCGGTATTTCGAATTAAAAGGCATAATAGAAGAGTTTGATAGCCCACTGAAGCGGATGTCAACTCAAATCCAAAGCATTCAAGATGACCTGACTGGTAACAAGCCCACTCTCGTCCGCGAGCAGAGCTAAAGTTCTGTACTAGAGATTAAGAGAAGGAAAGCACTCGATTGGATGTCCAACCCAGAACGATTGCCTTATCTGAAGTACCATAAGGAAAACAAGAGACAATTCTTGAAAGGAACTGGAGAGTGGCTTCTGAATGACAAGGTGTACAAGTCGTGGAGGAACGACAGTGCCTCTTCATTGTTATGGCTGCACGGCATACCCGGATCTGGCAAGAGCAAACTAACGTGGGTTTCATGTTTCAAAAAAAAAAAAATTACCTGGTAGGTGTATGTACTAACTGTGGAAGTAGATCACTCGTGGTAGAAGATGGGCTCAGATCCTCAGCGAAAGGCCTCACACCTCGCCCGGCGTTTTTCTACTGCTCTCAAAATACCGCAGAGCCTCCTCGATCGGATCCAGGCTCGATGCTTGGCTGTATTGCTCGGCAGCTTGCTAACTTGAGCCCCTCATCTGCGCTTCTTCCTCCAGTTGTGGAATTGTTCGAGGAAGAAGAAGCACAAGGAGGTGCCACTGGAAGTTTGGATATTGATGACGCTCGGGAACTGATATTGAACTTGATCAATATTTACCCTGTCACAACCATCATCATTGACGCACTCGACGAGTGCTCGATCCAGGGGCGTGGCATTGTTCTTGATTTCATCCAGACGATCATTGAAGATGCATCAAGCTTAGTCAAGGTTTTTGTTTCCAGCCGTGAAGACGGCGATATCGTATTCAACCTTCAGCGTTTTCCGAATCTTCGAATATCTTCTGGGAAGAACCAGGTTGACATCGAGGCTTTTGTGGAATCAGAAACCAAACGACTTGTGCGAGCAGGACTTCTATTGAGAAACAGTCAGCGACAGCAACAACTCATAGAGAAAATTGTCATCAGAGTTGCAGCTGAGGCTCAGGGAATGTACGTCCGATATTTCGAAGGACGTTTGAGTTCTTGTCTGACTGGTGTCCAGGTTTCGATGGGCAAGCTTGCAGCTGCAGAACCTCACAGAACTCAAAACAGACCCAGATATCATCGATCGCCTAGGTAGGATACCTCCCAGTTTGGAAGAGCTGTATATGGAGATATACAACCGCATTATCTCCAGCCAGGGCACTGTCTCGCGACAAATTGCCCAAAACGTATTCTCTCTCCTCTTGCGCCTAAGGCTTGACCTCAAGCCGAAAGCATTCCTCGAGCTTGTTCAATTAGATTATAGTCTGGTCACAGTTTCTGAAATGCTGGATATATGCTGCAATTTAGTTATTCTGGACGAAACAATCGATATCATTCGCTTTGCACATTTGTCCGTCCGAGAATTTCTCCAGAACCTGCCAGATTATTCAGCGCAACGAGCACACTCTATCGTCAGCTTGTGTTGCTTACGACAAATCGACCGCTGGAACGGTATGGGAATAATGAGTTGGAATTGGGGCTCAAGGGGGCCGGGTCGATATATCAACATGCATTTACGGTATCACCTTGAGAAGGCTGGGGCTCATGAAAGATTGGGTTTGGTTGAATATCTTCTATCCCTTTTGAAACTGAAGAATATTTCCACGCTCGACGGCGCGTACGGTCGAAGGGATAGGAACTGGAGACTTCGACGACATCCGGAGAATTTCGGCGCAAGCACCACTTGTCTTTTCAATGCCTGCGCGTTAGAGTATTTGGAGATTTTCGAACTCCTACTCGACATAATACTTGGATACCGAAGCAACTGGACGATTAAGGAACGACCTTTAAACATCGATGACCTGTCTCTTACTGTCGACATACCAATACTAAGCGATTCTATGGATTCAGAACGCTGCCAGGTTCTAGCCGTACATATAATAGAGTGCGGGAACTCTCGGTTTCTGCGCAAGTTGTGTGAAAAGAGGCTCCTTCCTCTGCATAACGCTCACAAAGTAGTCATAAGAGCTGCAAGTGACTCTTCAGTTGAGGAGACAGGAGCCATGAACGTTTTGCTGGATTTTTTTGGGCTGGAATGTCTCACTACGGACGTAATCAGAGAAGCAATCAGATCAGCGTATCGGAGAACGGGTCCTGGGCATGAAAATGGCACGGACAATGACACGCTCCTTGTGAAGGAATTTCTAGAACGAGGACTCGTCTTTCCCATTCATGACGGCTTTTTGGGCTCCATTTTCCCCAAATTTTCGAAGAAGATTTTCGAGATGTGTTGGGACAAACCCGCTGGTCCTAATAGTCGTTGGGCTTTAGAATCCATCATTCTTCTCCTCGAGGCTGACCTGGAGAGCTCTGTCCCAATCGCTTTTGTAGAATCGGTCGTCAACTACATGGACTTCACCGAGCAACAGCTGCAAAAGCTCCTTTGTCGATGCCGACTGAACGACCTGAGTCAGAAACAATTTGAAACCCTCGCTCCACATTGCCGAAGCTGGGCAACCTTCGGTCCACTAATAGAGCAAAATCCCCATATCTTCATTGATGAGGTCTTTTTCCTGGGAATCTTCAAAAGGCAGCGCGGCAAGAGTATCCTGGAAGGTGTGTTAGAGAGTCCCCACTGCCAGCATCTGCGGGATATCATGCTCAACCAGAAATTTTTCGATATTCTGGTCCAGTACTCTGAATGGGAAACTATCCAAGTTCTGTCGCCCGGTTTCAAAGTCGCTGAGAACGTGCTGGCTCGTGGGAGTATAGAATCTGCTGTGGCAGATATCTCTGAAGAATCAGCCTTGGATATGCCTCGAAAATTACTCCCGTCACGACCTAGCGTTCCTCGCGGTCTTGCATCTCTTGCACAGCGGGGCCCGAGGGAGTTGTTGAAAATGGAAAGAACCGGAAAACAATGAATAAACGCCGGAAATGACTTCAACCCTCAATACGAGCGAAGACATTTGACGTCGCTTAAGCAGGGGATTCCGAGATATGGCACGTCCTGAATCGCTTACATATCAGGGGCTAAGCGAGTTCGCATCTCAACCCCTTTTCATCAATATCGCTCTCCAAGATGCTGAGATGGGAAAAATTGTCACCAGATTTCCTCCCGAACCATCGTATGTCTCCTTATTCGATACCTTATATCTACCTGGTTCTCAGGGCCATTGCTGATTTCACACAGTGGATACCTTCACATCGGCCACGCAAAGGCTGCCTTTCTAGAAGAGCGATGGGAACGATGAAGACGAACACGGGAGCGTTTACCGAGGCCGATAGCGATGCTCCTGCCAAAACCCCGAAATGACATTGCAAATGACATTACGTACATTGCACTTGACTTTTTCCTTACTTTTTACTTCTTATATAATAAATTACTTATAGTATAAGATATTTATAAGCTTGCAAATAGTTTATACACTTTCCTAACTATTCTCTTTAATTTAGATTAATTAGAATTCTTCTAATCAGAATTTTTTTATTTGTAAAATTTTGAAGTTCTTCCTTTAATATTACTTTCTTACTTAGAAATTTGAGGCTATTTTCTAAGTTCTAGAGATCTTTAAATATAACTTTTTTAATTCTTAACCTTTTAAAATTATTTAAATTCTTATATATATATTAATTATAATTTATATAATTATAAGAGTAATAAGAGTTTTAATAAGCTTAATATATAAGAGTAAGATTTTGGGAAGACCCTAGTAAGATTTAAGCGAAGCGGCCGTAATGGCTTGTATACTCCGAAGGCTTATATACCAAAGGCTTGTATGGCCTCGATTTTTCTTTGCCTTTATTTAAGAAAATATTAAATTTAATTACCTATATAAGAATTTTAAAAATAGCCCCTATAAATCTATTAAGAATTGAATAAAGAATTAAATGGATTAATAGGAATTTACGTAATTACTTTATTTAAAAATCTCAAAAGCTAAGTGTAATGTGCGAATGCGTAATGTGTAATGCGCAAATGCGAAATGTCATGAAAAATCAGGGTTTTGGCAGTATAGGGGTTAGAGGCCTCGGTAGCGTTGTTGAGACTGAAATTTTGTTGGATGTTGCGCCTTATAGTCACTACTATCCCCCCCCTTGTCCAAAGCTATATTACGATATTGATAACACCACGCCTGCACGGGCCCTGTTAAGGGCCGATAGCGAATAGAGACTCTCTAAAGCACCTGAGACTTCCTAAGTTGGGGATATAAACGAGGTTTGGGGGTGGCGTTACTAATATCGTGATGTAGCTTTGGACAAGGGGGGGGGATAGTAGCGAAATCGGCTGCTGCAGAATGGAATTATTGATGGGCTCGCTTAATGGCTGGCTGGGCCCACTTTTATTAATGGAATTATCGATGGGCTCGCTTAATGGCTGGCGGGCCCACTTTTATTAATGGAATTATTAATAAAAGCGGGCCCAGCTATTAAGCGAGCCCCATTGCATTAATAGTATTAGTAATAATTATATTATCTATATTATATAATAGACTATTAAATAGAAATATAATAGTATAGTAATAATAGTCTACTTTTATACTAATCTTTATACTAATTAGTTTATAATTAAACTAGAAAGCGAGATATTTATATAATAGGGCTTGCTTAATAGCTAGGGCCTAGTTTTATTAATAATAATTATTAATATTAATTATTTATTAATTAATTAACTAATAATAATTCTAATTAATAATTTATTAGAGCTTATATTAGATTTTTGGAATTATTTCTTTAATTAAAGCTATAGAAATATAGGTATATTTTATAAGTTAAGTCTAGAAATCCTTAGTTTCTTTCTTATAATAGATTTTATTAATAAATAATTCCTTTTTATACTTATAATTAGTATAAGATAATTCTCTTTTATATTTATAAATTTGAATATAAAAGTTTTTAAGCTCTTTTTTAGAATAAGTCTTATTATTATATAAATACTTATTATACTTACTTTCTATTATATATAACTAGTCTAAATATATATATATCTATTAGCTATAAACTTATTAGCTATAGACTTTTTAATAGCTTTTATATCTTCTATTTTATAAATTAGATATTCTAATTCTTTTTTTTCTTTCTATAAAGTTCTTATAATAATAGCCTTAATATTTACTTTCTTTTTTATTTTTTATTTTTCTTTTAATTTAGATTTAATAGCTTTTATATTTTTTTAGTTACTATTTAATCTATAAATAACTAGCTTTTAAAACTTGTAATAAATTTATTCTAGTATTTTATTATTAATAAAAGTATTATTAGTTTAAATATATTAAGGAATTAAAATAATTAATAGAAATATAATATAATAGAAATATAAAATAAATAATAATATATATAATAAAATAGAATTATAATATATAAATAAGATATAGAATTAGAAAGTAAAAATTAGTTTATTTTTAAGAACTAAAAAGAAAAAAGAAATAATATAAGTAAATTATAGATTATATAAATATCTAGAAGTTATATAATAGAACTATATAACTAGAAAATAAAATTCCTATTATATATTTCCTTTATTTATAAGTATTTATTTCCTAAATATATTATAAAATAATAGCCTAAAACTATTTTAAAAGTATTAGAATAATTAAATTTATATACTTTATTTTATATATATTCTCGATTTTAAATCTCTATATTTCTAGCTTAATTTATTATTTAAATACTAGTAAATACTCTATTTTTTATATCTAAAATTATATAAATTATACCCGAAATACTAGTAAATATATATTTTCTAATACTAAATATATCTAAAATATAAAGAAATATTTTCTTTAATACTAAATATATTTAGAATATAAGGAAATACTTTTTCTTTTTCTTTTTACTATATTATATAAATTATACTAAAATACTAATAAACTTTCTTTAATACTAAATATATTTAAAATATAAGAAAATACTTTCTTTTCTTAATATTAAAATATATCTAAAATATAAAGAAACTTTCTTTTTTTCTTTATTATATTATATAAATTATATCTAAAATACTAGTAAATATTTTTTCTTTTAATACTAAATATATTTAAAATATAAGAAAATATTTATTAATATTAAATATATTTAGAATATAAGGAAATACTTTTTTTAATATTAAATTATATCTAAAATATAAGGAAATATTTTCTTTTAATATTAAATATACCCAAAATATAAGGAAATATTTTCTTTTTTAATACTAAATATATCTAAAATATAAGAAAATACTTTTTTTCTTTTTATTATATTATAGAAATTATATTTAAAGTATTACTTAAAGTATTTACTAAAGATATTTAAAATTATATAAAATATATATATTAGTACCTCTATTATTATTACTATAATACAAGTATTACTAGTTTTAGAAAAGGTAAAAAGAGGTTTAAAAGTCAAAAAGTAAAAGAGAAAGAATTATAAATTAGAAAAGAAAACTATAAAATAAAATATATATTAGAAATTTCTATAATTACTATAGTAATTATAGAAATTATAAGACTTGAAATTAAATAAGGAAGAGGTAAAAAAATATCGGGAATTATTAAAATTATATATAAATATTTACTTATATTTATTATATAGCCCTAGCTTTATATACTATATATATTACTATTTAACTAACTTATATAGGTATATTATTTTTATTTTTATTATTATAAAATAGAAACTTATATTCTTATAATTATATAATAAGAGAAAATAAAGATAAAGATAAAAGAGTTTTAATATTATATAACTAATTAGATAAGAAATATAAAAGAGAAAAAGAAACTATAAAAAATATAATTTTAAGATATATATAATTAAGCTCTTATTAGAATAGTTCTTTATAATAAGTAAATAAGCTTTAGATATTAGAATTAAAGAGATTTCTATATTATATAAGCTTATTAATATATTAAAAATAAGAATAAGAGAATTATAAAGTATCTAGCTTTATAAATAAAGAAAAAAAACCGAAATTAATAAGAATAAATATTATATAATTAGTAAAATTAATAGAAATTAAAGTAAATATAAAATAGTTATAAAGTAATTGAAATTTAGTTATAAGAAAAGAGTTTTAAGCTAAGAAAAGACTTTTTAATTATATAAATTAATAGAATTAAAACTTGAATTATAAAGCTAAAGCTTAATAGTAAATAGAGAAATAGAAAGAAAACTATATAACTAGTAGAATTAGTAGAAATTAAAGCAAATATAAAGTAGTTATAAAGTAATTATTAGTTTACTAGTAATATATAGTATTATTATATAAGTTATAGAATACTATTTATATAAGATTAGTGAAATTATTATTTAGAAATAGGAATTATAGTATTATAGTATTAATATATAATTCCTAAATTTACTAAGCCTAAAAGAGTCTAGTTTACTAGTTAAGTTACTAATAAGATATAAAATTATATAACTATATTCTATTTCTCATATCTTATTACCTATATCCCGTGTCTTATATCTCGTAATTCCTAAAGAAATAGCTATATTAATACTAGAAACTTTCTAAAAAATACAAAAAATAGTATCTTTCCCTAATTATATATAAATTCCCTAATTCGGCCTAGTACTAGATTCTTAAATATTTTATATATTTATATTATTTCTAAGGTTTTAGTTATATACTAAAGGCTATAGTCTTTTATATATAATTTCTCTTTCTATAATATTTTCTTATTTTATATATTTATTTTCTGCTTTATTTATATTTGACTTATTTCTTTATATCTAATTATATAATATTTATATTAATTAGGTATTTAAGGGTATTTATTAGTTTTAATTTTATTATAGAATTAGTAGGGTTTAATTCTTCTTTAATTTATTTAATTTCTATAATCTCTTATTATTTATATATCTAATAAAGGCATATTATATTAATTATTAGATACTTTTCTTAAGTAGTTCCTAATTTAATAAGGCATTTATATAATAATTTTAAATTTATATAAACTATTAGTAATAGTTTTATTTCTAGTACTTTATTAATTATAGATTTCACTAAAGTACCTATATTAAAACCATAAATCATATTATAAAGTTCCGAAGCTAGGATATTTCTAGTAATTTTCTTATATTTAGTAAAAAACTAGTAAATAATATTAGTATATCTAGTTCTATTTACTAGAACTAGAATATATCTAATTTAAGAGAAGAGATCTTTATTATTTATAAATAAAGCATTTATAAAAATAATTAAATATAAGAACTTCTTTACTAGCTTTATAAATCTTAGTTTTCTAGTAATATTTTTAATTTACTATTAAATATACTTAT